CAACCAGAAGACATATTAATTTTTGAAGGAAAATCTTACTGTCTCAACAAAAATGTACCTACCAGGTGCCACGTAATTATTATATCAATAACTAAGTTTTCTTTGGTTTAACGTATTAAAGAAAACTTACGGACACAAGTTTTGACCACAACAAAAATCAAAATCTAATTTAACAAAATAAGTTGTAAGAATCTGTTTGTCACATTCAAACAATTAGAAATGTTTTAAAAGCATCTCTTATTCTTCGTTAGGTCTCATAACGTCGTATATCGTAACAAAAAAGTCTATACCGAGCCGCTATATTTTACCTTCAAGGTAGATTGAATTTGCTACTGCAATTCGTCTGCCCAGCCATGTGTATAAGGTAGTTACGATCGAGATAGTGCTGTTCTGTCTTATTTTAAGACACTTCAGACAGTGTTTATAAATAATCCTAACCTCCTTTAAGGTTCGTAACTATTTACAAAAAAAAAACAAATAGCATTGTTTTAATTACTTTTTTTATAAATAGTTTGATACTAGCAGAATTTGAAATAAATTGTAATCAGTTACTCGTTTTATTTGTGTATACTTGTTTGTTATACTCAAGCGCTCACCGTGAAATTTTGCATTTGCATACAACTGATTATGAGGGAATATTGTTGGGAGGGGTACAAAAAGGAAAAACATCAAAAATTTGCTGTTCCCAAGGAATATAAAAAGAGCTTTAGGTGTTTTATAGAGTATTGACGAAAAAAATAGAAGTTATTTATCTTATTTATAGTAGCTAGAACGACAATACTAAAATTTTCGTACACTGTATTGTCCTGAAGTAAGAATTATTTCGTGGTCATTGCCATAGTTATTATTATATTAGATCGGTGTAAAGACGATAAATAGTTTGATTGACTAAATTCAAAAAAATATGAAAAACACTATTTGTGTTGAACGGATTACTCAGATTTACACGTAACAAGGTTTTAAACCTGATGGATACTTAGCATTGGGACATTAATGTAAATCTCCACCACGTATATAGTCTGTATAGTCACCACATTTAATTGGATAGCTTGTGATAATAGATATATCTACATATTACATTCAACGTTCAACGACTGTACCTAATACCTTACTATTAGACCACCGTTTCTTTTGTTGAAATCAGCCTGCAAAATGTTACAAGTTTTACCCGAATTCTAAAATATGACATATAGTTTCATAAAGTATTAAAATATGCAAACACAGTATTCACATATTGTCGTTTTACTCTTATTTAGTATAGAGAGTGTGATAAATAAATAAACAAATATTTGTTCTGTGCTGGAATAAAACAAAATTTAAATGCTCGTCCCACTGTCGATAGTTTTTTGTTTGATATTGGAACAGATTTAATAAACATTTTACAAGCAATACTTTTTTAATTTGAAAGCAAAATTGATACAAATATGCAATTTCGAGGAAATTTTCAGTAAAGTGGGCTTGATAAAAAAAGCATAGAAGTCATCATCGGACGCAGAAGGGTGGGCTTTATAATAAGTCTTCGGCTCTAATACTAAGTATAATAAAATTTTACTCCTAAAATTTATACATATCAATCTAATTAAAGTAAGTGAGCTAATATAATGCTATTAGCGGAACACAAAAAAAAGGAAGAATTAATGTATTTTTTTCGTAACACTGGCCGGTTACATAACTTTTTTAAATTTTAGGTCTACTCGTAATTGGAAAACGAAACATTAGTCGACAGTCATTTTTTTCATTCGTTTGTTTTAATTTTTCATTCATACATCTCTATCGACTGCTTCAAAGTTGATTTTCTGTTTTTGTAAAGTTCGTAAATTTCATTTGAAAAACATTGGCTTTTATTTTTATTTATTTTCTCGCATATTGATCACTTACGAGCATCTAAGTATGCCTGATTTATCGCTATCAGATCATTAGGACACATGAAGTTAGAAGATCCATCCTACAGATCGATTGCTACAAGACTTGGTCAATCGTTATCATCGATTCATCGTAGCATCCAACGGTACAGATTGACGAATTCTCTAGTAAGGAAGAGGACAAGGCAGGAAAAGGTGTACTTCAAGGAGAGGTGACCGTTTTTTACAACTTCAAGTTCAGCATCTTCAATGCAGGCCCGAAATGTATTGGAGGAGGTTCGAGGAGTAAAAGTGAGTGAGCCGTCGCAAAAGATTGAAAGAAGTCGGTATAGGCTCATTTGTGCCCGCCAAAGCACCAAAACTTGAGAGACACCACTGCACAACCGACTATACTTTGCTCGTGAATATCGTCATTGGGACTTCGACGAGTGAGGTCAAGTTCTCTTCACTTAGGAATATTCTGCATTCATTTAAATCAGATTGATGGAAGGCAGCGAGTATGGAGACGCAAAGAAGAGCGTTATATATAGTCTAATTGTGAAAATACAATGACAAATGGCGGCGGCTCAATTATGGTCTGGGGAGGGATATGTTTAGGAACTTGCACGGAGTTGGTTTTAGTCGACGGCGGGAATCTGACTGCTGATCGGTATATCGGGAAGATTTCAGAAGAACATCTTGTGCCTTTTGCCCCCTTTATTGGCAACGACATCATTCTAATGCAGTGTAATGCTCGGGCTCACAGTGTTCGCTCAGTACTGGCATACCTAAACCATTTTTTAGTTTAATTATTTTTGTATTTATTACAGTATAACAGGGTTTTATGATACATTTTTTTTCTTTTTAAAAGGTGGGATCTAACCAAATACTAAGTTTCCTCTCTAATAGTACAGTATTTTGTTCAGCAAGGTTTCTTAAGTAGCTCAAAAACATAATTATATTTTGAATGCTTCCTTCTTTATGAGGGGTTTCATTAATTAGAACAAAGATAGAAGATGAGAAAGCGGAAATGCCGAGGTGTTTTTCCGCATAATAATTAACTAATGAAATGGTCGAGAAAACGCCAAGACAATTTCAAACATCGCTGACATATTGTTTGCTTGTCTTATAACTAGGTACTCTAGATCAAAAATAACTAGAGATCAAAAGCTTTTAAGTGATTTTCTACCTACAAAGACGGATTATCAACAAAAGTCTGTAACATACTGAGGCATTATTCATTGGGTGTAGTAAAACCTTAACGTAAAAGGATCGGTAACCTCTATTTTATTATTTATCTAAGCCCCGAGCTACTTTGTCCCCAAGGTGGAAACTTTATGATGATTTGAAGGTTTATTAATAGAAGGTTTATTAAAATAAACTTGTTCCTTAAAAGTATTTGAAAGTCATTTCGGACATACGAGTAAAGGTGAAGCGCTGAATGGTAAGACGCAAAAAGTAGCGTTTGTAAGATTAATCTGATATCTGTGATTTGGTTGAGTTCAACCAAAGGGTTGTTCAAGGTAAATAGTTTTAAACAGGTAGGTGATCTAACTTGCACTAACAAATTAATGGTATTGTTTTAAACAAGCTTTTGTAGGCCTTGGATATCATGTAGCACAGAAGTAGACAAACCAAATGAGCACAAACTCCGAAGAAAGAACTCCGTAAGAAGTTCCTATGGCCATCTTCCGGTTCTATCATCGGAACAACTCCATAGTACATATTATTATATTCTCACTAAAGATATATGTATCCAAATTTGGTGTATACACCAAATTTAAGCCGAATCGGACATCGGCCCTAAGTTAGCGTCCAAAATTCGTGGCGAAAACATACATTCAAACATTGCAAGTCAAACATAAGCTTGTAAAAAAAATTAAAACTTTTACAAATATCTCATTACTTGTAAAAAAAATGGGTTAAAATTTGATATAACACTGAGTTGCCTTAAAGAGCTGCCTCAGTGAACTTGTTTTTCTTACGATAAAATAAATATACAAAGTTGCCCTTGACATTACGATATAACAGTATACATGAAAGCATTAATACTACCTTTAGTGTCTACTCAACATTCTCGTTCATTGTACTAATCAAAAGTAGATTAAGGCGCTATAATATTTTATACTACCTACCGCAGCAAGTGGTTTGACTAGTTTTTGTAATTCCGAATTATTACCCCTGCTTGACAAATAAAGCGTAATTTTATTTATTTACTTATTTTCATTAAAAAACAACTACTATTACCTAAAATAAATTAACTAGTTTAGCCCAATACGACAGTGTTATACCATCTACTTATTCAAACTAAATATTTAATAAATAACTAAAACTCGACTATTAGGATCCTTAACTCTTAAGCTCGCATCGCTATCTTCAAGGAACACTTCTTTTTGTGCAGGAACGTATACAGCTCTTTTCTATCAAAGCTTTGTTTTAGTTTCATAAACACCAATGAAAAATGAACTATATTAAGCTGCTAGAATGTATTTATCATAGCAAATGGGTGCTATTTCTTTTTTCGTTTATGTGATCCCTCCGAGTCTTTTCCTAAAATAGGTCTATAGGCTTTAAGTCTATTATGATAAGGCTAAACTTCGGTTTTTTACATGGAGCGACTACCATCAGATCTCCACAACCCAAGTACTAGGCGATATCCAAGTTCTGTAGAAAGATTGTTATCGGACTTTTTAGAGCTTAGCTTAGTTAGCTCCAACTATCCGTAACGATTGCCAAAGTTGTTCGTATGGCAATCGGGACCGGCGTCTTAACGTGCTCTCCGAGACACAGAGTGGTTTCAATGTACTAAGAGTGATCACCTATCCATAGACTGTTTTGGCTCTGATTACTTAACTTTGTAATGTGTTAACCAACTCGGTTACAACTTAGCCACGAGCCCCTCCCGTACATTGCCAAATAATTGTAACAAAATATTAAATGTATGTGTACACTTTAATAAGAGAAAACAAATATTCAAAAAAATAATTGACGAAACCTAAACCTATAATTTAATCCCACCGAAAACATATATGTTGAAATGGAAGCCAAGTTCAATATTATAATAATTATGGTATGGTTGTATTTTGCACCGACAAGTTTAGCGTGAAAAGTAGGTTAACTTAGATAATAAAATTCATTATTTCGCAGTAGTTGACATACCTGTAAATAGGTTTCCCGCCACTCTTCCTGAACCAGAGCACCATATAAACTCGGTCTTCGTTGGTATCGGGTGTGACGTCACAAGGGAGAGACGCCGTACGCCCCAACACCGCATCCACCTCTACAGTTGACACTGCAACAATGAACATGTTCATTTAACAAACAATACGCTTAATAATGACTGAAGTCGACACTATGTATGACACCTTTTATAGGACAATGACTATTTAAGTTGCAGATTTTTGGTTTAGATATAAAACTGAAATTATCGCTTTATTGATTCTCACCACCAAAAGATTTTACTTTAGGTTAGGAAAAAATACAAGAAGTCCAGATATCTTAATAACAGCTTTTCCTGGTGTGCACACGGTGTAGAACTCTGTGCTTTAAATGGGCCCTCCCATTCAGGCACAGAGTTTCCCACCATGTGTTTTTAGTTGGTTCTGTTCCACACATCCTTTTTTTTCCTGTGCGGAAATCCCCTCGGATATCACCCACCAAATCGGATATCACCGGGTGATTATGTCGGACTCGAATCGACCAGGAACCGGTACCAGTATCAGTATCCGGAAAACCAGGTGTACGCTTGAAAGGAAATCCCTGGTACCCCGATGTACCTCGGGCCATCCATGGCGTGTAGATTCCACATGTAAGAAAAAGAAGCAAAAAAAAACGCACCTTAAGTTTTCCTATTTAAACTTGAAAGTTGTGTAAGTTAACCATATTAAAAGTTTTTTAAGAAGTGATCTAAGATCTAAAAGTCTCATCTATCTATAATGCTCAATATCGCGTTTAAATATTTCAAGTAGTTGAATCTTCGTACTAGATTAGATTTCTGTCCATATTATTTTATAAAATGGTTCTCGGATACCTGATTACTATGTGTGCACTATGAAGATTTCAGTAACAATATTATTTCATATTATATGAGCATCTGATCTCGCAACCTAAACGGAAAAAAAATGCAATAGACGGCGAATAGGATTATGTAACTTGGATAGACCATTATACGCCCGAAACAAAAATACAGTCCAAACAGTGGACTGCAAACAGGGAACCGGCTTCAAAAAAGGCAAAAACTGTTTTTTCGGGCAAGTGATGGCGACTGTTTTTTGGGATAGTCATGTAGTTTTTTTTTTTTTTTTTTTAATTGATGATCTCCAAAAAGGAAAAACCATTACAGGAGCATACTACGCATGATACTTTCTTGACAAGCTGAAGTTAGAACTTGCGGAAAAACGGCCACATTTAGAAAGAAAATGCTGTTTCACCAAGATAACGCACCGTCTCACACCTTAGCGGTTGCCATGGAAAATCCACGAATTACGGTTTGAACTGCTTGACCATCCGCCTTACTCAACAGATCTAGCCACAAGCGAAAAATTGCCCAAGGAGGACAGAGATTTTTGTCAAATGAAGGGAACCTTCGTGAAAAATTATTTTACAGAGAAAAACGCCGAGTACTATTTGGACGGGTTACAGAGATGGGAGCAGCGCTGGGAGAAGTAGGTAGAGTTACAAGGAGACTATGTTGAAAAATTGAACTGAAAAAAGATCTTGTATCTTTGTTAGGTCGGAAACTTTTCGGAGCACTCGTATTTAGGTATATTTAATTTCTTCTAGCAAAAAGTTGTGAAGCCATGCAAACTGACGTCTATCGATTTCGTTCCTTCTTGATGTACGCATGTAAGAAAATACCGATGTTGGTAAGTACACATTAGTATTGTGTTTTTATAAAATATACATGACATTCGATACATATTTGAATGACATGCCCTATTTTGTGCGTCAACCCTACATTTGACATGCTCTTATGTGACATGTTGGTTTTCACCTGCTTATTTTCCTTTCGTAAAACAATCGTTGTATAATATACATTAATATTGAAGAAATAACTGTTTACGATTTGTTGTTTTTGCGTTGACACCGATTTCATGATGGGTCATTCTCAAACCTCTGAAGCTGTAATCCTATAAACCAAAGAAAATCAGTCAGTACATGTTTAAATTTTGTCATATTTGTATTCAGATAGTTTTATGAAAATCCAAAACTAAACCATCCAAGACCACCAAAAATATTTTACTGACCCTGCCTACCTGATTCGTATAAATGTAAATGACCAAAAAAGACTAAAATCTTTATACTAAAAAGTATCAAAAGTGTAATTAAAAGTACTATCACCGAAATGTTCAAGATTATATATGTTGTCAGCCGTTTAAGGATTGGTCTTGTATATGCATGTTACGGCGAGACAGTTGCGTAGCTTAAAATATTTAACAAAAAAGCGACATTAATAACAAAAATAAGTTTGAAGCTAAAAACTGACTCAAGTAATAATAAAATTCGTTTGGCTTATTCTCAAGCAATACCTTACTCTTTTCGTGTTTCATTAAATACCAATTGAGTTCACCAACTTCAAATAAGTTTAAGTTAAGCAGAAACATGTTTTGTTTCATTACATATAAAAATCAATATGTTCTTAAACATGTATTAATATAATAATAATCATTTTTCTTAGAGTAACCATGACTCATTGCTTGTTTGTTAGTAATACATAAAACTTATATGTTAGATGTTAGACTTCTAGTAGAGACGAATAACAATAATTCATTTATGCACTCCATGAGAGACAACGCTACAGTGACCCATGTACCTGCAATCTATCCTCTCTGCAATCGTGGCTAGTATGCTGTTAGAGCTAGCCCGCACCCTGCGCACCAAAGATCACACTTTTTTCGCATAGTAGTGTGAAAGCAGTCCACTCGCGCCTCTGCGAACAGCCCGGATGCACTACAGAAGCGGGGAGGCCCTACAGCACCCTAAACGCATTGCTGTATTGGATATGGAGGGAATTGTATGCTTTTCGAGTATATGTAGCCCACCGGCTGCATATACATAGATAGATGTGCAGTAGGCTCTGAAGAATATGATCTTAACATTATTCGAATAATGTGTAAACCTGCGGGTCAACATGTTTGCTCTCAGCGACAACGCCCTCCGTTCCCTTTCCAGATCCTCATCGTGTTTGATCTCATTGCTTTCATATTTACAACAAAACATGTACTTCAAGCTACCCTTATATTTGACATTAATATCTCGCGAACTAAAAATTCTATTAGGAAAATGTTACGAAGATCATGGTGTTCAATACTTATAACTAAATGGTATTTTATACATAAAATGATAATAATAATATCCTCCAAATTAATTACCCAAAACCTTAAAGAAAAACCACATTAAAGGCATACCAGAGGCCCTTAATTCTCAAAGCAACTTTAACATTGTCATTGTGATTTTATCCAGTTTATTATACAAATTACAAAAGGGCGACAACGGCTAGAACGAACCATTTGCGTTGAGAAATAATCCAAAACGATCATTTTTATATAATTTATTACCCCCCTGATAAAGTCAATGCATTAGAGTTTATAAAAAAGTTGGCAAAAATTGAAAAAAGGAATTCCCCGTGTAATATTATTTATTCACTTCAAATTGAAGATCAGAAGCATTTTGTCAAGTTTTCAATAATTCAGGAGTGGATACTCCACTCCCGTGACATTGAAGACGCGACATTATTATTGATTTTGTCATTATTGGCGTCAATAGTATTTAGATAGACATATGTATCTTACAAATGTCTATCTAAATACAGCTTTTAGATATTATTTTATTGCGACTGATTTCAATGTACTTAAAAAAATACATTGGAATTAAAGGTTAGACAAAAAACGATCTAGCAATCTAATAGCCAAATACATTATTAATCTACTAATCATTTTAAGGGTTTTCAATAAAATTGATAAATCTAGACAGTTTTTTTAGAAATTAAAATTATGAAAGAGATTTATTGAGAATCAGTTATAGCCGATCAATCAGCTTAGTAGGTATACTTTATTTTATTACTGGCTTTTGTCCGCTGCGTGTATTTAGGTTTTCGCGGTAAAAAGTAGCCTATATTCCTCGCTAATGATGTAGCTTTCAATTACTGAAAGAATTTTTTTAAAATTGGTAGTGGTTTAGGCGTGAAAGAGAACAAACAAATTCATTTTCCCATTTATAATATAAGTATGGAAGTAAGGAATATTTATGTATAACAAAATTGAAAAACGTTAGTTTTTGTAGTCAAAACCTCAACCTTTTTATAGTCCATAAGTTATTTTACAAAAAATAGACTAGAATTAATCCTAAGAAAGGTTAGTAAAACCAATGACTTAAAGCGAAAAACAAAAAGTCTACCGCACTAAGAATTCAAGTCAACTAAGGTTACTATAACAGATAAAAGTTACAACGTAATTCAGCTAGAAATACCATATAGTTTGTTTTTTTATCCTCACTGTACCCATTCGCAGCTAATAAACAAAAAATAGCGACACAATTTATGACAAAGTAGGCATAAGTATTCCGTTTTCTCATTTTAACGCAGGGCACTAAAAACGTAACCATGACGTCGGATGAAGCGAGTGTTTTGGCTCAACTGCCTACAGTTTAGGGCCAACATTTATCTCAACGAAGTTAATTGGGACTCTTTGTTTTTCCTTTACGTATACATACGTATATACATGTTTATGCGTACCGATGGTTGTGTCTGAAAATTTTTTTTGCTACTTTAGTAATATGTGAATATTCAAGGGGTACAAAAGGACAATTTTCTCTTTTCAATTCGGAACTGACTAGTAAACTCTATGGGGCCGGTAATCTCACTCATTGAACGAATGATAACTTATTAGTAATAAAAACAATAGTAGTCATAGTATAAGAAGAACCTTCGTTGATGGTATGGTGGATGGTTCAGAATTCCCTGGGTTTGAATAATACCTTGACCTAGTCTAACATTTTTTTGTTATATGGGGAAAAAGAGTAGTCGGGCCACCTGATGGTTAGCGACTTCCGCCGCCTATGAATCCTTGCAACCCAAGAGTAACAAGTCTGTAAGTAAGTCACTTTTTGAAAACGGTTTCCAAATGGATGATCAGATTATATTTTTTTAAGTGACCTGTAATGTTTCATATTTGTCATCCCATTTTGGTAACCTAATACGGTATGTGTTTAAGCCCCAAACGGTAGAAAAAGGTGTAATTGGCACATCTTAAATTTGTGCGTCCTAAGGTAAACTTATTTCAGAAAAAAACATAAATGCACCAAAAACTTA